GGGGGGGGGGGGTAGAGGAGAGTGGAGGGGACTTTGGAGAGTTGGGACTAAGCGCACTCTTAGACCGTGTCGTCATCGAGTAGCAGCTGTTTCCATTCAGCCTCGCCCTTCTTAGTTGGCGACTTCCTTTGCAGCACTTTTAATTAACGCGCACGAGGCAACGCTCCCTATTTCATTTCTCTTTGCTCTCGCTTCTTCCTCCACGATTCATGTCTCGAGCTGTGAACTGTTCGAAATGCTGTCGAATGATCGTGCGCGGCGTACGAGTATTATTTACGGTCAATGTATACAAGCTGCGCTATCACGAAGAAATTAGCTCACAGATTTTCAAGAACTTTGAATGTATCGTAGAACGGGGGAAAAAATTAAACGCATATTTTATTTGTGTGTTTATCCTCTTCGCGTGTTCGCAGGCATTGAAGCGATCCTTCGATAATAATTCGGTATAAAATTGATTGTGAGCGAATATCTTCGGTACAGATGTTAATAGACTAAACTTTTCTTCGACTAATATAATCGGCAAATCAATAATCCAAACTAATCAAGCATCACATCGCAAATAACTTCAACGATGACATCAATAAATTAACAAGTCATAATAATTTATTGATGAATAAATCATTTCACTGATGCAATGAATTATTGATCAAACTTTGATGTGATCGACAACGCACGCTGATCAACAACTAATCTCGTCGAGCGATTAAATTGTTCGTGATTATACATATAACGATTGATTAATTTTGATGAGTGATTTAGTCAAAGTAAATTTTAATTGATTAATGTCCAACTAATGCTTCGGAAGTAGTAGCAGGTGTCCTCTCTGTTGTAGAAGGCGGCCGATTTGTCGTCGCAGGAAGTATTGAAAATTGAATCGAATTTTTGGATCAACCCGTATTTGGTTCGTTTCGTATTTAGGTGACTCCCCGCTCGATCAGGCAACGGCACACCGGCGGAATTGACCGACTTTCGTATATATCGGACATGTAGGAAAATTTAGCCTACTTGCATAAAGCAAACGACGATATCGCGGACCGAATACAGACGTAAGCGAAGTAATTTTATAATGGAGCTCCACTTCCCTCCTATTTCGTCGCGAGATTCAAAATAGATTTATATCCGACTGCCCAAACTACGAGTCTTTCGACAAAACGCGCTTCTGCCTCGTCGATCTCGGTCGACGTGAAAGCGTTTAGCGCGTATGCCGGAGTAAATCAAACGGGCCGGCAATAAAACTGACAATTACGTTAAAGCGAGAATTCGGCTCTGCATTTCAACGAAATAGCTTTTCCGGGATTAATCGAATTTCATTCGCCATCGTGAAAGCGGAATGCGGTGTTAACGTTTTCGTTTCTGCAAAAATTGGCTCGATAACGCGTATTAAAAATATTATTATTATTCAACGTGCCGCGCAGTGTGAAGCGTCATTACGCCGGACATTAAGTGGACAATGATTGAAACGCTTGGCTTAAATCCAAACGTGGCGTTAACGCCGCGAATGTTGTTCTAAAGTCGAGCGGGGGGATGCGCGAGATCGTTCGGGGAGTCGTCGCTAATAAGTGAACACGAATTGAAAATGAAAGACGTTCGAGTGTCGCTCGCGCGCGAATCGTAGGGGGTCACACACGCTTAACTCTTAGTTGTGAGAGATGTTGAAAAACGAAAGGAGAGACAGAGAATGTTATTGCAGTGAATTAAATTCGGAGGTGCGTCTTGAGATTTCCATTGGGAACTAAGCTCGGCGAAAGTGCGTGCTGATAGGATAGCTTACGGATATCTTTAGTACCATCTATGGGAAGCATATGTACCTCGTGTCCTCATTTTTGTTCGCTACGAAACGGTCCAGTCTGAAAAAAAAATACAAAAGTTGTCATTCCACACGTGCTCGATATAATTTGCGCTACATCCTATATGTATGTACAACCTCGCGCGCCACGTACGCGCAACGCGCGCGTACGTGAATTATATTAAAACATTTTCACGCTCTCGCGCGCTACGCGAGAAAATGTGCATCGCGATGAGGTTTAAAGGGAAAAATGTTAAAGAATTATCTGGATTTGCAGCATACTACGAGTAACACTCATTTCGCTCTTGATAAAATTGTCGGCTGATCGTGCCGTAGTGTGAAAGTTGTGGGAACTTCTGAAGGAAGTAAAATTCTGCACGCTCTCCTAAGAGAAAATGCACGCGTGATATGGATAAACGAGTGATCGATTATTGACCAACACTCGACTAGATGAAAAACGTTCTCTCTGACATACACACATTCAGTATTTACGTACGCATTAAAAGAGTGTGCGGTAATTGAAGCAATTTATCGTTAACGGTCACATGCGAAACGATGCCACTTTGCACATTCGCAGTCGCATTGCGCTTCATACAAAAAAGGGACACATATGGTCGTATGTTGGGAAAAACATACGCGTTTCAGCATATCAGAAATTTTTATTTAACTCCGTTCTCGTCGAAAACAGAGAGTAGAGATGATTTGCTTAAATCTTGTCAACCGAAATTTCGATCCTTCCTGTGCTCTCGCATTTGTAACACGCGCGTGAGTATTAATTCTTTGCGGCCTCTCGAGCCGGGATATTTCCAGCTGTTTTACTGCTTACTTTTTAACTTCATAATAAATATATTTACATATACAGTACCTTTTATTTTAGTGTGCACAAAAATTCATTTGCAAGAATTTTATTTATTGCTTATTTGAAATAATTAACTGATGCTCATCGCTCATTTATTGCGCGAAATTAGTCAGACCAACGGGAAATATGCGCCACCAGCTGTGCACGAGACTGCAAAGGATTGATTATCTCACTTTGAAGAAATTTATCCACTGGGAAAAAAATTGTATAATATATTCGAAGACGATGAAAATTTTCGGCAAATCAAACAGGCGCATAATAAGACACGACGAGAAATGTTCGTTACATTCGAGGTAAACTTGGTCGTCTGTATTCTGTCGGTTTCCGGATTAAGGGCGATCGATCGGCTCGCCGACACAGTGCCGGGAGGGTGCAGTGTCGAGAAGGAAACTGGGGGAGTCCTTCTTTCGTCGGGTGTTCCATTAGCAAGGAACTGAGCGACATGTGGTGTAATACACATTGTTACATGACTGTAATATAGTGCGCTGACAGTCAGCCATCGCTGTTGCTCGCGTTAGTTTGCGAATTTCTATTCAAAATTAGCGCATTCGTCTGTCGCCTCATTAGTGCGGAAGAAGTGTAATCCTTTCCCGTAATCGTTTTATGAGGAAGCAATGGCGAACGTGAACTACGGGTTTCTTTCTCTGGCAGGAACGACCGCAACGTTCACACGACACGTCATAATATTGTCATAGGTGAACGCATGCGTTAGTATTTGAAAATGTTGAATATTCACTCGGGACTTTTATCACTTATCACAGAACATAACGAAAACGCCCAACGACGAAGAGTATCGATTTCGTCGTTTTCGACGATTCCGTGACTGTTAAAATTGTTGATCGAGACGAAGGCGGATTTGCATTGACACTACTCGCGGAGAAATTTGAGTAGGGATTAGAGTTGCATTCGAAAAGGTCCTTTCTCGGAAAAATTTTACCGAACATCTGTAATTCATGTTGCATGGATTTTTAATAATAATAAAATAATAAATGATAAATAATAATAATAAATAAAATTTTAGAGTGTAGAAAGTGTGATGTACAGAAACCAAATCGGTTCTTCGGTGCGATTGCCAAGTAGAAATACTCATGGGAGAATCTCGTTGTTTACAAGTCAGACGCACGCCTATCTTTCAGTCTCCACGGTGTGCGCGATGAATCTATCTTCCTGTCCCAAATATCCTTGATTAGAATCATATATAGTACCCATAATTGAATGGGGATTCAAGATATTAAAATCTTCTTTTTCCATTCTCAGATAACTATTAATTGACTTATTAATTATTTGAAATTTGCGAAATTAATTGAATATTGCAAAAAATATTGCCTCAGCCGAGAATTGAACCTGGACCTTCCCTTACCTGGATATGCCTGAGATAATTCGGTAAAATTTTCTCATGAATTTCGGAACTGTTAGAAAATCACGACGTGACCGGAGAACCTGAATTCGGCTAAAGAAAATATTTTAGCTGACTGTGACATTGTCTGTTGAGGTATAATGCAATAAACAATTTGATGACAAAGATTTATGATTCACGCCGAGTTGATGAGTCACAAAGAACACATTCGTGCACGTTTTAAAAAATGAGTCGCAAGTGATGAGAAACGATTCACAATAGCTGGACTTGAGATTAGGTTAGGTTAGGTTAGGTTAGATTACTTCAGTTCTCCGTTACTCTAGTTCTTTTTCATATTGGTGGTGGTCAAAGGTGCGTCCCAAAAACCAGACAAATACTTAATTCCGAGGAATTAATTTAGAGGAAGGCTGACTTATAAAAAATGTTCCACTATCCAATATCTCGATTTGGTACCGTTCTACATATAGCTCGAAAATAACTCAATGATTAAACGACTAGAATATATTACTATGGATATTTTTTTTATAGCTTGATATGAGCGGACAAAGAATAGGCTTATCTTTGAAACCTCATAGAAACCAAGTTTTTAACTAAAACTATCTGACTGAAATAAAGATTGCGTATTCGATATTCTATGCCAGAGTCACGTCGATTATCATACCGGAAATGAGATAAGAGTTCAATGAATATTCACTGTTAGGGCTCGGAGGACAGTTACGACATTTCGGAGACGCAGCAACCGAATATAATGCATTTTGAATTACAACAGCGAGCGCTCTTCAAATATTTCATGACTCCCTCGCTCGCTATCCAAATTTGAAGTCATCAAACAATGCGAGAAATCTCGCGGAATAAATGCCAAATGGTAGCTCTGAGTTCTCTGACCGTCTCTCTTTCTATTTCTCCTCTCTTGTCTCCGACAACGCAGGTTTCTCTACGAGGGACATTAAGCTTTAAAGTGATCGTCTCTCGGTCCGGCTGATAGTTAACGCGATAAGATTCAATACGACTTTTATTCGGAATTGGCGCTACCAATATTTGAACACCGAGATAACATACTGCTTGAGACAGTTACACTGAGGAAAAATGTTCGGTATTTGTAATTATAATCACACATAGAAAAATCATTGCTGTACGGAAAAAAAGGTTTGGTTGAATTATAACCAAATATCTGGTCGAATATAAACGATCCAGAAATTCCGATTGAAGTAACCCGAATTCTGTTTAAGTCAATCAAAAATCTTGTTAACTTAAACAGAATTCGGGTTATTTTAATCGGAATTTCTGGATCGTTCATATTCAACCAGATATTTGGTTAATTCAACCAAATCTTTTTTTCCGTATATAAATTATGATCAAGCAAGCCATTTTTTAAATCAAATTTTAGTATAATATTAGCGATAATAACTTTATGTGTACATGTTATTACTACCATTTTCGCGTTGGAACAATAAAAAAATATGGTTGGAACTAAATAGTCATAATTTTAGTTAGATCAATCATTCTTTTTCTGTCAGTGTACGTTACGAGAAAAGTCTGAGACACATATGATGAATTAATATGTGTGTGTGTGCGTGTATATGTGTGTGTCGGACAATTTTTAATATTGAATACGCCATTCAGAAGAGACATACTTTTTATCCAAAGTCCATATTCCGGTTACATACATTTGATCCTTTGCGATCGCGTAGTGCGCTATAGCCTGGATACACGAAGAAAATATATTGTAGTAAAAATTACAATAAAATGTATATTTTTATAATTTTACATACGGAGTTTCATGGGCGAAATTACTGTATATTTATTTGAAATTTTTGCACGTTTGGCTTTTTATTATAAAATTGTTGTAATTATTTGAACATTTTTTATATCGTATACCAGGTAGATCGAATTTATTATTTTGCATAATAATTATATTACAATTTCAATACAGTTTAGCTTTAAAAAAGAAAAAAAATTCAAAAAAGATATTCCAATGTAATTTTTATTGTAACATTCCTTCCGTGTATATTTCTGATCAGAATTATTTTGAAGCGAACATTTTTTACTAATGTCTAATCAAAGATTGTCTTGTGACAAGAAAGAAAAAAAACTAGATCAGATCTTCCAACACCAGTGATCGTTTATCTTACCACCGCCGTTCAGAAATCATCTTTATTCTCTCACATTGCACTGTCGTGTCTGTGAACGAATGAACGTGTCCGGCATAACTCGTCTTATGTGGTCAGAACAGCAAAAGTGCTCTTTCTCAAGCACAGCCGCGGAGAAACTACGGCCGCAAAGGGTTGTACCCGAGCGCGTTTAATTTTTAAGCGTAAACTCACATCGTGTACGCGTAACCTTCAGTAAAGCAAATAACACTCCGGATCAGACGGTTATAAATTCAACGTGAACCGTGCGACCCGAGGAATACGGCCGCGTCAATCTTTACATTGTCGGCCCGCCTGGTGCCCTTCCCGCACGAAATCAACGACGGCCGAATGAACGAATAGCGCGCGGTGCATCGAACGTCCCAGAGGACTCACTCGCCACGGCACTGGCCCAAGGTGGAGAGGTCGTTAACCCCCGTAAGCTCTCGTTACCCGTCGATCGAGCGACCTCCTCTCCCTCTCGCACGCGCCTTCTCTATTCCCCCTCCTTCCCTCCTTCTCCCGTTTGGCTGCCGCAGCCTGACCCTTTCGTGTGCTTGGTCGGGCAACCGGTCGGTCGTTCCCTTCGAAAAGCTTCCTCGGCGACTTTCTTGCGGTCGGCGGTGCCACCGAAAATTTATCGCATCTCCTCCCGAACGACTCATCGATTTTCTCGTCTCTACTCTCCTGTCCTCCCCTCTCTCCCTGCTCTTCCC